GGACGACCACTTAACAATGTGTAAGAGTAGGAACTGTTTATTTTAAAATTAACGTGATGCGTAAAACTACATGATCTTGTATGTATTATATTAAAGTTTATATGGTCCATTATATAGAACAATCCTTAATCTTATGCTCTAAAAGCAAAAAAAATAATCCTAATAAATGGCATCTTACTAGTATTCTTCGAACTTCAAATCGATTGACTTTGAGTGAGACATATGAGCATGACACTTATATCAAATACTCAAACATCAACTTTATTTATAGTTTTGATAAATCAAAAAAGAAAGAAAACAGGGAAAAATATCTTCCAATTTCGTTCCAAATATCTCGTCCAATTACTAGGAAAAATTGAAAAACCCAAAAAGAAAAAGAAAAAAAAAAGGCGAAAAAAATGCAAGCTTCTGCAAATCTCCTCCACACCCAGCTCAAAACGACGGCGTTGAGCACCGTCACCACCAGCCATCCGCCCCCAAATCCCCTCCTCCCTCAGCCCCGACAGAGGACTAACACAGTCAAAATCGGAAGGCCCAAAATCCGGTCGTCGAGCAGAGCCTCTTGGCAAGACGATTGCCCGATCGCCGCGGATTTCAACCTGTACGAGCTTCTCGGGGTGGAAGCGTCGTCAGACAAGGCTCGGATTAAGGAGGCGTACCGGGCTCTGCAGAAACGGTGCCACCCGGATATCGCCGGCCCGACGGGCCACGACATGGCCATAGTTCTCAATGAGGCTTACGCTCTCCTCTCGGACCCGAACTCTCGCATGGCTTATGACAAGGTCGAATTAAACACTTGTTATTGATTGGTTTAGTATATGGTGGAGATTGGATTGGTTTGTTATTTTTGCTGAAAAATTAGAAAGGATTTTTATAAAGAGGGAAGATAAATTTGAGGTTGTGACTAAATGCAGGTGATGCAACAAAATTGATGTGATATAAAATAATAAAATTGTTAATTGATAAGATTAGTAGGATAAATATTTTTTATTTTGTTGGAGAAGATATTAATAATGATTAATTTTTATTTTTAAGTTTGTTTCGTAAGATTTGTAGAGAAAAAATAAGAGGAAAATAAATAGGATTATATTGTGAGAAAAAATTTATTTTACTTTCAGTTTTAATGAGATAAATCTTGATTAGAAGAAACAACTATGAGATAAATCTTGATTGAACAAACAAAATGAAAGAAAAAAAAAAATTGTATCCAATATAACGAATTTGGAACTTTTTTCTGTTGGTGTATTTTGATAGTAAACACATCTCTCTTATCTGTTAAATTAATAAGTCTTGTCTGTCAAACTTTAAATAAATACTATTCTAAAAACTAGTAATTTATTGTTAACGCATAAAAATATACTATGATAAAAACTAGCTAGTAATTTGTTGTTAACGTAGTGCAACACAATCGAATTAGCTAACTAAAAACTAAATAATATTTTTTTATATTGATTTATATAGTATTAGGTAACATTAAAAACTGCTCAAGATTTTGCTTTAGCTGATGCAGTCAGATGCATCAGTTTTATTCCAACACGTACAACTCATGTAGCTTATTTTATGAAATGACTGGCAGTTTCTGCATGAAAGTCTTTATTTTGAAGAAAATGCGCAGATAATCGAATTTTCTTACGAACTATTTCCGGGTTCTTTATGTTTTAGAAGGGCATTCACTAGAGTTCATAACCGGATGGTTAGTGTCATCAACGTTAGTAATCTCATCGATAGTTTCATTTGAATGATTCAGGAACTAGCAAAAGTTGCAGACTTTCAAGGGTACACCGGGAGGCCTATATATTCCGTGTGGTTAGGTTCCGAGAGCGAGCAGAGGGCCGTTTTTGTCGATGAGGTCAAGTGTGTAGGTTGCTTGAAATGTGCCTTATTTGCCGAGAAAACTTTTGCTATTGAATCGGTATATGGCAGAGCACGAGTGGTGGCTCAATGGGCCGATCCCGAATACAAAATTCAAGAGGCTATTGGCACTTGCCCGGTCGATTGCATCTCGTAAGAATGTAATCTGGCAAAAAAATGTATTTTTAGTTTAACGCCATAGCATTTTTAGTCCCAAGGTTCCAGCTTTTCGCTTTTTGGTACTGTGATTTAATATTTTGCTGTAATTTTAGTCTCAAAAGACTGAAATTGCAACAAAATTTTAAATGATAGGACTTAAATTGCTAATAAAAATTTCATAATTTAGAAATTTGTTGCAATTTCAGTCCTCAAATGACTGAAATTGTAGCAAATTATTAAATCACAGACTAAAAGGCGAAATGTTCAAATCTTGGGACTAAAAATGTTATAGCGTTAACTAGGACTAAAAATACAATTTAGCCTCATATATATATATATATATGCCAGTTTTTTTAACTTTTGTCATTAAAAAGTTACTGATGAAATATTAGAATTGTGGAAAGAGACAACTTGGCTGCCCTTGAATTCATAATGTCTAAGCAGCCGCGTGGAAAGGTCAGAATCGGTGTCGGGAATACAGTAGGTGCAAGAACCTTGGATATTTTCGACGAGGTCGAGAAATTCCAGGCCAGATATGCTCAGCATAAAACTACTACTACAAATTATTCCAAGGTTCTCATGCTCTGTCTTAATCTCTTTTGAGGTGCGCTTGAATATGGATCGTAATCCGATCAAGTTATTTTGTTTCGAATCACCACACATAAAATCCAACCCAACTCAACTCTCTTACCTTTTTTTATAAATATTATTAAATAATATCAATTAATCATCCTCACACATCACATCAACTTTAATTCACTATTCATCTACTTGAATAATTTTAACAACCTATATCACTTTCAAATTCAATAACTTTTCTCCTATTTTTCCATCACTATCAACTTTAATCATTATATTTTAAATATTATTTAACTACATAAAAAATGATGAACTCAATCAACTTTATTCAAAATAACTCACTTTTAAACAACCAACCAAATTGGATCATAACCGGTTGGATTCACATTCAATCACGCTCTTACTGTTTTTTGTCACTAATCCGAAAAAACTCCTTTTTTTTCTTCAAAAGAGTCGAGAGGCTGAACTAGCATCGAGGGCATCGGTCATTCAAGCCATTCAGATGATATCAAACTGGTTGTACTGGCAATCTCCCGTTGCAGATGCCAGCACACCTCCAGCTGTCCTGAATTCCCAATTGGGCCCAAGAAAACACGTCGGGCCCTCTGTGAAGAGGCTGAAAGCTGCAGCAGCAGCTAGAAAACAAGCAACAACCACTGCACGGCCCAAACAAATAGCAGACGAGTACTGGGAGCCCTCAGCACTTGCTCTTCCATATGCAGCCGCACCAGATTCCAGCTCCAAACCTGCATTTGGGCCGGCCCACACTAGAAAAATAAGCCCGTCGATTCATAATTTCAAGCCCTTGGGCCCTGAGGAAAGTTCAGGCAACCCTTTACGCTGGGTTTTGCCGCTAGGAATGGCTATCGTGGCTGCTGGGTATGTTCAGTTAGAGCTTGTGGAGCCTGCGAGTGGTCTGAAGGACCATGTTGCCGGCTCGTTGGCAGTAGCCATTGTTAATAGCTCATGGATGCAGGTTGTTTTGGCGGGTTTTACGTGGTACCTTATTGGTATGTATGCAGTTGAATTGATGTTGGCTTTCAGGAGAAAATGAGGAATTTATATGACAATATTGAATATTCTTAGTTTATGTGTATATTTATTTTTATATGTAAGTGTGTAACTATAGCAGATAGGGGACATTGCTAAGAGCATCTCCAACCATACTCTCAATTTTTACAGTTTCTACAGTAAAATCTCACTAGTTTTACAGTTTCAACAGTGTTAGCAACTCCAACCCATTCTCTCTATAATTCTCCTCTAAAAGAATATTCCAAGCATACCTTTTTCTAATTTTATTAATTTATTAAATAATCTCTACAAATTACATTTTAATGCATTATGCTTGCATAAAATTTACATATTTATGTATATATATTAATTATTGAAATATTTTGTTTTACAAATTATATTTTGTTTGAAATATTTATTTAAGTGAATTTTAATACTAACTAATATTCTATCATATTAATTAATAAAAAGTTTGTTTTCCAATTAAAATTTTACTATATTAATTATAATAATTATAATAAAGTTTGACACATTTATAAACTATTTTAATTTAATTTATAAAACTAATTAGTTCATTCAATATAGTTAGAAAAAATGTCCACCCAATACATCTAAATGGGCCAAAATACCACCCAACATCATTTTACACACAAAAAAAAAAGAAGGAAAAATGTGACAGAGGATGAACCCAACATCATTTTACACACACAAAAAAAAAAAGGAAAAATGTGATAGAGGATGAACAGTGGAACGGTTGGCAAACCGTTCCACACAACTTCTATAGAGTTTTCTGCAAAGATGGAGGGCTGGGTTGGAGATGAATTTCCTCCAAAGGTGCCGTTTCCGCTGGCTATAGGGTATGGGTTGGAGATGCTCTAAGGGCGTGATGAATATGGATCATAACCGGTTTTAATTAGTTTTAACCGATCAAGTTATTTTGGTACTCAATTGAACTCTCATACTTTTTATAATTATAATTAAATAATAACAATCAATCATTCACACATCACATTAATTTTAATTCACTCTTCACTCACATAATTTTACATACTTATCACTTTCAATGATCTCTCTCATATTTTTACATCACATCAACTTCAATTATTATATATTAAATATTATTTAATTACAAACTCAATCAATTCACTTTAACCAACCAAAACCAAATTGAATCATAACTGGTTGGATTCATATCCAATCACGCCATAAGTAGCTTATAAAATGGAGTATTATTTAATTATTATATATTAAATATTATTTAATTACAAACTCAATCAATTCACTTTAACCAACCAAAACCAAATTGAATCATAACTGGTTGGATTCATATCCAATCACGCCATAAGTAGCTTATAAAATGGAGTATTATATTTTATTAAATTAATTTAGAATTGGGTTGATGAATGCATTACTGAGAATCCTTCTGAGATCAGAACATATTCTACTTCAAGAAAATATTAACACCATGGTTTGTTAATTTTGGTTGCCAACATAGATTTTCTGGGTAAGACAGGCCAAAAACAGTATCAAACTATTAACACCTCAAGGTATTTTTTTTCCATCAGACTTTTTACTTTGATGAATTGTTGCTGCCTTCTTCTTCTTCTTCAGATGACGTTTCTTCCTCATACATTTCGTCGTCCACAAGGACCACAACCTCCTCACGAGCCTTGAACTTCATTTTGCAAACCATTAAAGGTGCCGCCTGTAAAAGGAACAAAAAAAAAAGAGAGATTACTATTGCAAAGGAATTTGCGAATACATCATCTGTTTCATTTTTATTTTTGAACTATTCGCTGCAACAAAATGGGTTCACAGCAACAGACGAAAAGTTACTAGTCGCTCGTGAATTTAGGACCCAGTAAAAGACTTCAAATACATGCAACATTTTTCTGTTTTCACATACTAAGAACAACAACTACTGCAACAGATTGCAAATGTAACAAATGTATACCAATTGTGGTGGCAGTTTGATTACACCATAAATAATATCATCAGACAAGTGAAGATACACATAGGGATTTGCTAAATCCTTACAATCCTTAAAAACGTGAAGCATTGCGAAAACAGAGGTCAAGAAGTGAAGATACTAACTTTGCTGCATCTAACACAACGATGATTCATATACTCGACCATCTTCCAAGCCGTAAGAACTCCATTGGGATCCTTTCCACTGTATAACTCTAACTTGTTCATGAGCCCGATAATTTTTCCGTCCGGTCCATAGAGTGGAATATTCCCTTCGTAAATTTTCCAGTATCCATTTGGAGTTGTTCTTGTCCCATTCCCCTTCCCTTGTAAGATTTCTTTAGTGAGGGGTACGAAAAAATATGCCCTGTCATCATCTCCTTTGTCCTTGTACTCAATCTACTTACGCACAAGATGATATGTAAATTTTACGAACACANTAACAGTGTAACTAGGATAACAACTACAGCAAGCAACTACAATTATGAGTGTCATAACTACATTTAACACAAGAACAACAAGAACAACAACAACAAGCATCTCACAAGCTTTCAACTATGCTTAATACAAACATACCACTTTATCGATTGACAAAAACATGCTGCAAAGTATTAACTACAATTATAAAGGCTCGTTACTTTTGCAAAGAAAAGCCGAAACTACAACAGGAATCTTATAGTAAGCTTCTTCCATTATCCATTCTGTTTTGCAAAACAACATCTACACAAAAGATTGGCAGCAAAAGACCAAGGGACATGACAGATTCTGGGCAGACATCTTGCAGATGCAGCAGCACAAACAAAGAGAAAACATAAATACTTACCAGCAAAACTCATGTTACCTTAGTTACACATGATAAATCAAATTCAGCATACAAACAGTTGATTTCTTTTTTTTATTTTATTACTATTATTTTTATTTTTATTTTTGCTTTCTTTCTTTTGTTTTGGCCATAAATTTCCCACAGTTCTGCTATTCCTAAGCCCTTCCATCCTTAAACCTCGAATTGCTTTACAGATAATACGAAATAGAAATACATTGCCGGCGGCCACGCCATTAAATCAAAGCCAATCCGCACGCACCAGAGACAGAATCTCAAATAGAAAGCCCAAATTTATGAATACATAGGAAAGCCCAGGCAAAATAAATGGCATCTGTATAAATGAATGTGCAGAATACAGAAACTTATCAAAACCATAATCCTCGTCATGCATCAATGAGAACTCCCAAAAACACAGGAAAAAACGAAAACGCAGAAACAAACAAACCACATACCGAGAGGAATTTGTCGGGATCATACTTGTACACATCGAGATCTTTAATGTAGTCCGAAGGCTGTCTGCACCTCTCAGCTTAGGGCTCAAATAATACTGCAGCACCTCAAACGGCGTCGGGCGGAACCTGAACATGGAATAAGATGAAGTAATTCCTCCTAGAAGCTCAAATAGCCTATCCACGTCCATCGCTTCTTCAAAAAACAAAAGGGAAAATTAGGAAAAAAAAATAGTTTGCACAGACGAAGATTTAACGGGGAAAGAGAGGAAGAAGATGAAATTTACAGGAAGTATTGGAATTCCTCGCTTGACGTCTCTTAATAATAGTAAGAGAGAAGAGGTTTTAGAGCATCAACTCGAACCTTAAAATGCCGTAGCTGATAGAATTGGATTTAACCGATTGAAATCCGTAAGAGCTTTCACATTGAATGATCGAGAACCAAAACGTACCTGATGTTGATTGATTTCACTTAAATTGAATTGGGATTTTGGGTTTGGGATTTTGAGTTCTTCCAAAAACCTCTCATCTCTGATAGAGAATGGAAACCCGTACGGTTTTTTAGAGCATGATTATTTATAAAAAAATTTGGTTTTTTTGGTTTGGTTTGATTAATTTTGAAAAAGATAGTATGGTTAATTGTTGGTGGGTATATTAAAATAATATTTATAATAAAATTATTAAAATTGATTTGATGTAAAAGTAGGAGGAGAGAGATTTGAAGTGATGGTTAGTTAAAATAATGTGAGTGGATGAATAGTGAATTAAGGTTGATATGGTGTGTATGAATAATTGATTGATATTATTTAATCATATTGATAATTTTGATGATAGTGGGGTTGAGTTGAAAAAAGTAGTTGAGTTAAAATGTGAGAATTTTTTTGAAAAATTTCATAAACAAACATGTTCATTCTTTTCATCACTTTATTATGAAGAATTGAAAAGACCTCTTTTATTTATCACTGTTTTGGAGACTCCACCCATTATTAATTTTAACCAAAATTATTTGCTAATTAGGTCCTTAAGTTTAATATTATTATTTGTTACGTCACCAAATAATAATATTGTCGGGTGTCCACATTTAATCATTTCACAATCTAAATTAAGTTCCTTAGTCAATATACAATAATTTGATTACTTAATTTGGCTAAACAATATAATGACCCAATGTATCAAACACATATTTAATCCCAAAATAGATCTAACAATAGCAAGTCAATTAATAAGAGCGATGAGGTTTACAAACACACCACTGGAGGTTAACCTATTAGAGCATCTCCAATGGTGTATTGTTCATTTAGAGATGTATAACATGAAGAAAGAAAATTACAAAATTTTGTCTCCAGTGGTGAATGTCAATTTTAGTATAATTTGACATGTGTAAGATTTTAATTAGTCGGGGATGAGATATATATTTAATAAATAATAAAAAATATAATAGAGGATGTCTAGAAGTACTTCTAAACATAGAAAGACTTCTAGACATTTTGAGTGTCACATAAGATTAATTATGCCACATGTCAATAAAAGGGAGAAATCCATGAACCATTGGAGATACTCTTATTTGACACAGGTTAAAAGTTTGTGAATGTAAAAGCGAGGAAATTGCAAATTTGGTCATGTCAGATTGAAACGGTCGCAATTTTATCTTATGAGGCGCAATTTCAGTCCTTAACTGTACAATTTGTCCTAAATCTAACTGATCGTCAAGTTACCGTTGGTCATAAGTTTGAAAAGGGAGAAAATTCCAAATATAATCCCATAAAATTGGTTTTGTTGCAAATTTAGTCCCAAATATTAGAAAAGTAATATCAACTACTATTGGTTTGAATACTCGGCCAAACTTGTTGTTGAATCGAGAATCGGTCAATTAAACGGTTTGATTCCTTTAAACGGATTGGTTTCCAATGAACCGATCAGAATTAGTTGAATGGACTGGTCAATAATATATATATTTTTTAAATAAGTTAATAAATATTTATATTTTTTAATTTTAACAAAAATATAAGTTTAAATATATTTGATATATATAAATTCAAATATATTTGAATTATATTATTATGTTTTCTGTATTTAAAATATTTTTAATTAGATATAAATATATATACAAAATAATTATTTAATTTTATTATAATTATATTGGTTGATAAAAAATAAAAATATAATTATAGAGGTTAATAAAAATTTAAAATGTAAAATAAAAATAAAAATAAAAATAATATCAACTACTATTATTTTTAAAATTGAGCTAAACTGACTATTGAATGTAGAATCGGTCAAATGGTTGGATTCCTTTGAACGAACTAGTTTTCAATGAACCGGTCAGAATTGGTTGATTGGACTGGTCAATATATATATATATATATATATATATATATTAAATAAGTTAATAAATATTCATATATTTTTTAATATAACAAAAATATAAACTTAATATATTATTCAAATAAATTTAAATTTATATTATTATTAATATATTAAAAAATTTAATTGCAATACAATGTTTTCTATATTTCAAATATTTTTAATTAAATAATAAATATATTTAAAAAATCATCATTTAATTTTATCTATTACTATATAATACGGAGAAGAAAAATTATTTGAACAATCCGAAAAAATCATTTCGTTTTCCCGCTTAAAACCTGTTTTCCCCCTAATATTGTGTTTGAAATTTTTTTGAATTCCGCTTAAATCCGTTTTTTGGAACTTTGAATTTTTTCGGAAAACTGTTTTTGGATGGTATTCCTTTCATTTTGGATGAGATTTCTTCCAAAATTGAATGAGTCAATATTTATCTAAAACATTTTTATTTGGTTCACGTTTATCCCGCCTTAAACACTTTTTTTCGAATTTTAAAAAAAATTGAATGAGTCAATATATATCTAACCAATTTTTTTTACTCTTTGTAACACATGTTTTCCTTTATCCTTTTGATTTAAATCCCTACAAGTCCGTTAGTTTAATTGGTATCCTTTCAAAATAATTTTTTTTCTATATTTCTGTATGAGTAATCTAATAATCTTTTGAGTTTGACAGCAGATATTCCTAACACCATTTTTAGAAGAATAATCTATTACTATATAATAGAGAGAAGAAAAAATGCTTGAAAAATTATTTCATTTACCCCTCAAATCATTTTTTCCCCCTAATATTTTGTTTGAAATTTTTTTGGAAGTTTGAATTTTTTTCATTCCGAAATTCTGTAATTTGGATGAGTTCAATATGTTTTGAATGAGTTTCCTTCCATATCGGATAAATTTAAGATCCTTTTCATTTTGGAAAACAGATTTTTATTTTAGCAATATATTTGACTTCTTTTTCTTTTTTTTGGAGATAATCTATCCGTTAAAATAGGAAATGAATTTGTAATTTATTTTGTCAAATTAAGTTTTTGAGTTAATCCTTCAATGTGTTTGTGCGGACGGAATGCGTAGATACAACCTCAAATGAATTAAATCATACCGTGCCTAAGTTCACTTTAATGTATAAATCATTAGAATAATAAAATAAAAATTTTTATAGATAACAAATAAATGTTTATCATAGCTTTTATTCTAAAAATAAATTTGAATTATTATACCTATTACTTTGTATGAAATTCAAAATTACATGTTTTAATATATTAATAAATGTTTATTATTTATTTTTTTTCTTATGTGATATAATCGAAATTCGGTATTAAATTTTTAAATTCAAACATTTAAAAAAAAATCTTAAACAAAATTTTTTGGGTAAATTTCATTCTATTTTGATTTTCATATAATCACATTCCTAACAAACTAATTAATATTATATTTTTTTATCTACATTATCTAACCGATTTTTTATGATACAATTACTATAATATCTTAACTAATTAATCATTTATCTAACTGAATTTATCTCTCTAACAAACTTGCCAATTTTTTTGAAATTAAAATGGTATGATTATTCTTATGGAAATAATTGACTTTTAAAAAATATAAAATCAAAACCGTAAGTCTTAATAATATTATTTAAAAAAAATATTGTATAATGAGAAGTGTTTAATAATATATATTTTTCATTGTTTGTATTTATTTTATTTTCATAATAGACAAGATGTGAAAAATATAAGTAATTATCTTTAAAATAAAGCCTAAAAAAAGTTTAAAATATGAGCTCCTACGTGCATCGCACGGGATATACACTAGTTATGATTATAGTGGTTGATAAAAAATAAAAATATAACTGTAGAGGTTAACAAAAATTAAAAATTAAAAATAAAAATAAAAATAACATCAACTACTATTATTTTGAAAAGTGGGCTAAATTGGCTACTGAATCTAGAATCGGTTAACTGAACGGTTTGATTTTTTTGAACCAACTGTTTCCAATGAACCAGTCAGAATTGGTTGATTGAACAGATCAGTTATACATATAATGACTTGTTGGTTTCTCAACAAGTTATACCTCGCACACAGTATGTTAATGTAGCTTATAATAACTTATTTGGTTAGCTTATAAGTTAATAAGTTTCGTTTTAATAAGACTAGTCTTTTTAAAAAACTCGAGCTTATTTCATAAGTTTTTTTAGTAGCTTTTCGAATAAGCTTGTTTAAATTTTTATTTCAGCTAGCTTATCAGCTAATTTACCAAACACTTTTATCATATATAAGTTAACTCCTCAACTATAAGTTATAAGCTATAAGATAAAGCTCAAAAATCACTTATGAGTTATAAATCTAGCTTATCAGTTATCAATAAACTTATCAGTTAGTTTTACCAAACATATCCTAATATAATCAATATTCTAAATATTGTACTTTACCAACCTGTATTAACAGTAATATCCAATAATGATGGTCCAACCCTTTCAATATTCTTTTGCCAAAATACCATACAAAATGCCGGATAGACCAGATTCTATAAGAAAAGTTTAGCTTTTTTTGTTTTCAATATATTTTTATCAAGTTTTGTTAAACATAATTGCAAAATATGTACTTAATTTTAATATGTTCACTCTTTTTTATTAAATTTTAATCAGTATTAGCATTTATTGAAGTTGATTTTATACGTTATTTATATCATTATAATAAAATTAATTAAAATATATTAAAACTGATAAAAAGACATTAAAACCGATTGATACCCGTGCCTTGTCCAATATGATTGCTGATACGATATTTAAAACATTTTGAACCTAACAAGAGTGTATTCAATTGGAACTTTTAAGAACTTTTTAAAACTTTTTAAAATGAGCGATTTTGACGGATTTTGTGAATTTTTTAACGACTTCGATGGACATTCAGAGACTTTCATAGCAAAATCTCACTAATTTGATGAAATTTCTATTAAAAATTTGTCTTTATAATTTTATTAAAAATGTTTATAGAAGTCTTCCAATTTTAAAAGTCTTATAAACTCTTTCTACTTTGAATATCGGGTGACTTATTGATATTTTTAGAAAGTTTCAATTGAGTACACTGAGACTTTTAAAGATTTATAAAAAGTCTTTAGTAGTCTCAATTGAATACATGCAAAGTTTTTAGAAGTCTCAAAAACATTCAATTGAATACACCAGAATTTTGAAATTCTTAACATATCTTAATTGAATACACCCCTAAGTTTCCAAATCTTGAGGCCAATTTGTCATCCATTACTAGCGAGATGTGAAGTTATGAATTTCGTATCACTTGCATAGTATCTACACCAGCTTAGTATCTTACACGAAACTTAAATGACGTGAATTTTAATCATTACATTTTACACAAATAAAGTGTTTAACCATTACATTCTCATCCCAAGTAACCAAAAACTCAAGACAAGATCATTCTTGTCCTCCAAACAATCTCCCCACATTAGTTTCCCTACAGGAACTAACTAAGAAAATGATTTAATGTTATAGCAGATGATTTCGGCAAATGTGGAAGCACGTCGAAAGCGAAGCAACTCCTTCAGCAGCTCCCGCTCACAATCCATTGACTCTGGCTCAAGTTCAACCGTCATTTTCTCAAGCACTGGTGCATTTGCAAGCAAGGAACTGACGAAATCCAGCTCTTGTCTTGTGCCAGATATCCCGACAATCTTAATCAGCCGAAGCCGTGTAAAAGGAAGGGTAAGAAGATTATCTGCAGTGTTGGGATCCAGTGTAACAGTTGATTGTTCTTCCTCATCCCCGCAAGCCTGTCAAGATATTGTTTTTAGTCACCTGAGATTTATTTATTTATTTTTTTATTTTTTTCAGTGGATGAATAACAAAAACAAATCTTGACACTCGACAATAAGTTTAAACAGTTCGAATTATTGGGAATTTAACTTTCGACGTACCAACACCTCGAGTTCTTGAAGGTTGGGAGAACTACGGAGAAGGCAAAGAGCAGCTAGATTCTCGCCCAAGTCATTCAAATTAATATGAATCGAAAGAAAACTAAGATCAACGCAAGGTTTGGGTAGCTTTCCAGGTATAGCTCCAGCAGCCAAATACTGGTCAAAATCGAACACAAGGTAGATAAAGGAAAAATACGAAAAAAAATGAAAAGAACAAAAAAAGTCTGAGATTGTTTTTGGTCTACATTGCACGGGCTAAATGCAGTTTTGGTCCTATTAGATTATGATTATGAAGGTAGCAATTTAGGTCTCAGTAGAATAACATATAGCTATTTAAGTCCTGTAATTTAATATTTTTCTACAATTGCAGTCCTTTGATGACCGAAATTGCAACAAACTTTTAAATTACAGGATTTAAACTGCTAATAAAATATTCATCCCAAATATTTATTTCGGAACTTTTCAGTCCTCAAAGAACTAAAGTTGCAGCAAAATATTAAATTACAAAACTTAAATTGTTATATGTCACTCTCGTGGGACCTAAATTGTTTGGTTCATAATCTAATAGGGCCAAAATTGCATTTTAGCCGCATTACATGTATGTACTTAGTATCGTGCTATGAATAATAACGAGTACTCTGTTAATGTACACATGCTAGTATTTAATCAAAGCTTTTTCTATTATTTGATTACCTTCAAAAAGAAGTATTTCACCACAAGCCTTTGTATGTGGGGTAGACATGCAAAAAACTTGATCAAATTCCCTGTGCTGCTGAAACCCAGCTTCCGTTCGGTCCCGTTTTCTACATACAAGCAGATAGAAACAACGGCCAGGTGGAAGGTGTCCCGAAAACTGACTTCCTCGAAATAGCCCTCGACATCAAAGAAAAGGAGATTAGGCGCACGGATATTCAGAAGGGTAAAACCGTCACAGTTCATCAAAATCAGGCGCTCGAGTAGAGGACAGGCCACGATCATATGCTCGAAGGCCAGTTGATCCATGATGATGTGCTGCAAGTTGAGGCTCTTTAAACTTGTGAAGCCATTGAAATTTGGAGGCGGTTTCAAGAGGCAGTTAAAGATCTCCAAATGGATCAGCTTGTGACACGAGTATATAGAAGAAGGAAGCTTGTATTGGGGGTGTTCCCATATTTCTAGACTTAGTTCCTCCACGCAACCTCTCGACAGGAATAGAATCCACCGGTCGATATCACTACAACCTTTAAGATCACGGATAGAAAGCTTGAATTTCTCGATGGGGCCCGTGTGGAGTAAAAGGACATGGTCGATGATGTTGACTAGTTTGTTTTTCATGAGGTTTAGGTCTTCTGTGGAGATTAGGGCAGGTTGATTATCGAAAACGAGGGAAGGAAGAGTGACCCATTTGTATCTCCACTTCTTTGACAGCACGCTCGTACGGATAGCATCTCGAATTGATAAATGGGATAGGATTTTGTCTATGATACAGTCCGGTAAGTTGCTAATCCTGTCTACCCGTCTTTCTAAGTTGCGAGGTACTTTGTGTGGTTCTGTATGATTCTGTAAAAAAATAAGAGACAAAGACCAATGCAAGAGTCGTAGAAGATAAATACATAGGATAATCTTGACCAATTTACAGTCCCATGAAAACTAAATCTTCGAATTGAAAAGGATTCGAGAATAAAAGTTTGAAAAATCTNGGGGAAAAAAAAAAACAAAAGAAATGGAAAACTGGATTTCGGGCTCGTCTGAACTTTTGACGGAATAACTTGTGTCCGACAGTGTGACGAACAATTTTTTTCTAAATTCTAATTATTAAATGAAGCAACGTGGATACTGATAGTATAAGTGTATAGATAGAACTTCTAAAAGAATCTTGTCAGACACTTCCACAGATTAATGACATGTCCTACTGATGATCGATTCATGGGCTTTGTTGATGATTATCATTAACAGATATTGCTAAACTTGAAGACATGGATGCACTTTTATGAACACATTGTAGCGTAAAATATGTAGCCAAATTAAATGCACTGTCAAAAAGAATCATGAACATCAGTACAATGTCAACCACATGGAAAAAAAAAACAAACAAACAAGGTCACCGTGTATCTGTTATACGAACAGCAGGTATATCAAAGGCGAAATAACTAATCGTCGAGAAAGATTCAAACTTACCATATTGCTCATGTCTAACCAAAAAATTCCAAGAAGTTGAGCAAACTGAACTTCAGGTTAGAATCGAGCTAGTTCATTCGTCAGATGATCTGGGTCACTACAGCACAAAGGCATATATACACAACAAATTATGTCTGGTGACCTAAGAAAATAACACGACAAGACTCTACCAGCTTAATTTTCATAATAAACAGAAAACGACCAACACAGAGAACCACATAAAGAAGTGAAATTTCGAAAAGGAAAATCTATGGACAAGTGCATATAACAGAGAACAATGCATGATATAGAGAATAAATTAGTGAAACCTAATACCAGGGTAATTTTGTCTATGGTAGTGGCCTAATGGTTAGACAACCAATACTTTCATTCTCAAATGCCATTTTTGTAAATAAATATGACTGGTTAACGCTTAGACAGCCTAACAACATCATCTATTTAAAAAATTTATGCAGAGATACGAAATACAAAATGGGAATCACAAGATCATTCTAATGCAAAGCCACAACAGCAAACCAAGATCATAGAACACTATCCCAATATGCTCCAAAACATTAATACAAATCAAACACTCTGCTAATATGTTCGATTTAACACAAGAACAAAGTTGCCAATGTGAATGATTAAACTGACATTAACATTCTTATACTAAATTACACACCAGACAGTAAAATAAAATAATAAACAGAGGAATAATTCATTATAACCATGAATCCATTCACTAAATCCACTAATGCTTACAATGCAAATTATGAGAAGCCCATTTTAACAAAATCACCCAACCAGGGGGTTAATATTGTGCGCAATGTCATTCACATAAATTAATACATTGGATACAATTTAAATATTGTGGAAAATCACTGGAAATAAAATTGGAAAATATGGCACTTACAAAGCAAGGGTTAAGAGTTCAGACAACCTTAAACCTTACAGCACTGAAGAGCAATAGAGCAGCGAGTGAAATATGATGGTTTCAGCATTTCGCTGAGTCGCACGGTCAGAGGTTAGGTTATTATCTGCAAATTTTTACCGACAACAAGTAGAACCTCCTCTACGTTTTCAGTTCGGTTGCTCGGGCTCGGGCCTGTTTAAGGAGGATGTCAAAGTGAAGAAAAACTCAGAATTTCACTGAAGTTCTTTCTTTTTTTCTAGTCTAGGTTTTATATAGGACTATTTAGGCTACGTTTGGTTCTTTTTCTTTTTTTTAGGTTTATATAGGACTATTTAAGTTATGTTTGGTAGACAAAATAAGATAATTTATAACTTGTTTGATTAGTAAGCTTCTGTATTTAAATAAGCTTCATTTGGTAGGACGAGTTTTTTTAAAAAAATTCGAGTTTATCTCATAATAAGCTTTTTTAGGCCGCTTTTCAAATAAGCTCGTTGAAATTTTTATTTCAGCTAGCTTATCAGCTAATTTACCAAACACTTTTATCATATAAGCTAGTTTTTCAGCTATAAGTCATGAGTTATAAGTTACAACTCAAAAATTACTGACAAGCTATAAGATAGCTTATCAGCTAGTTTTACCAAACATAACCTAAATAGAGTTTACATTTTTGCACACATGTATCCCCTAACGTATTGAGCCTAAGTGGTGGCAGGCCCGCATGCTTCAGGATCTTATATGGAAAAATTACATGTTTTGTTATTAGGCTTGGGTAAATTTTAATTTACTTTCAATCCATAATTAGTTACATCCGGATTATCCATAAATATGTTGATTATTTATGGTCATGTTGCATGTATTAACTACATTTTAATATTATTTCTTATTATAACCATCGAATTGTAAATGTATTTTACAAGTTAATAATTTTTATCAGTTTTACATATATAATATATCAAATTAATCATCTTTTGATGAACTTCAATTTAACATCCATATTGTATGTATAAAAAATTATATTTATCTTTACAACAATAATTTTTTTAATATTAATTAGAAAAATAAAATTATTTATCAATTAATATATTTATATTTCAAGTAGGTATATGATATAACTTATAAAAATTATTATAATAAAACAAATGTAAGTCGCACAAGTAGCAAGTGTCATTTTAAAATACATAATAATATATATTTTTTGTAGAAAAGTAAATAAAATTTAAAATATTTTTTCTCATTAATTTTAAAATTTAAGAATAATTTTTTAACAAACACCCGTGTAATACACGGGTGTTGTACTAGTATATATATATAGAAAAAGAGATCATACGATAATGGTAGATAGTGAAATAAATAAGAATGAATCTGTAACATTAGATGCAATATATTAGTGTTCATGATCAAGTCAACTATTAAATATGGTAGCATAATATGTGATGACAATTTTGGTTATATATATATTAGTCGTCTTTCGGCTGTGCACGCACAACTAGCTCAAATTTAGTTTATAATGTAGTTAAAATATTGCGGTACTTAAACGTACGTTATTCAAATTTAGTCTATAACGTAGTTAAAATTTAGTATACTTGAATTTTTTGCACAATTTAAATCAATAACAACAATGCGACCACGCTGGAGAAGAACATGTTAACTACACACATGTAAAACATTTAATGAATAAGAATCAGATCTCAAAAGAAGTTCGGTTGATATATAATATATTGGATGTTTAACCGAAATTACAGTTTTTGTGAATACTTGGCAAAATATTTAAGGTTTTCTTAAAAAACACATGATCACTATTACACTTGATTAGATTCATCTTTCATCCTTCATTCCTTCTTTGTGCAGGTTTTCTTCATTTTCATAAGCTCAAAATCAATCGGAGTTGCATTCTTCACATTCTTGGGAATTCAAACTTCCTTCAGCACCATCTTTTAGGAATGGAAAACTTGAAAGAGAGTCCAAATCGAAGTCTGCTAGATAGATGCAAGATACTTGGATCTCAATTAATGGCTAAATATAACATCATTTAGAAAATTTAAATTTAGGAAAAGGGACATGCAACCACAAAACATGGCTAAAAATACTATAATTATCCCTACAACTGGTAAAGACATCAGTACCTCCTCGTCATTATAAAAATTCAATTCATAAATGCCTTCATCATTCATCCATAAGTTGAATACAATAATTTTCTTCCCATGTGATCCAATATCATCAAATTAGAAAGAATGATAAAAACAAATCCATTAACAAAGAGCATGGAATAAAATTGTTGACATTCGAAAATTGAGTCAACTATTGGGGAATTTTTCCCTAAATCTATATATATAAAATAAGGATTAACTTAAATCATTTTTAGTAATATTTTCCCGCTATAAGCATTAATTTCTTACTATAGATGGAAATAATATAATACTATTTAAATAAAAAATAAATCATTAATTGCATGGTTTCCATATAACTTGGATTTCATTATGTGTTTATTTTAGTCAATTATAGGTTTCCTTTAATTAAGTTGATAGTTATTTTGTAGGTAAAGATGATGTAAAAGCTGATTTTAGAATCTTCATTTATGGAGGATTCTTTTTTATTTTAACAGATTTATTAGAATCATTAATTTGGATTAGCATATATGCTATATACACAAAATACAATTTTATAGTAATATTTAAATTGGTTTATTCATTGTAGCAAATTTTGAAAATAAATGATTTGTTATGAGATAAATATACTTTGTTATGATATATATATATATATATACAAATCCTCATTTTATATTCTTTTTTACTATTGTTTTTAAAACAGAATTTTTGATATTTTGTATAGTAAATCGATTTTCTATTGTTTGTATCGATAAAATATAAATCTGCTAGACAAAAACTATATCTATATGTAAATGTACTACATCAGTGGTCCAATTAAAAATTGTTCGATTTGAAAATATTAACGTGAATTAATGTCTAATTATACATGTTATTATATAATATTTTAGGTGTTTTTAATATTTTAAACATACATGTTTAATGTTATTTTATATAAAATATAAAACTATAAAAATAATAATAAATATTATTTAGCTAATTAAGTATAATCGATATTAAAATGATAAACTAACAGCTCATTTGTCGATCTGTCAAGTAAATTATCATATTATAAGTAGATCATTCTGATATTAGAGTTCCATTTAAGTTCCAACGACATCGGTTCTTACTTATAGTTTTGTATGCCATTACAATAAATAAAAGTTAGCGTCAGTGTTTATCGTACGTTGACCTTTTCTTAAATAAATTGGTTTTTAGTCACGCCTATTATATGTTGTTGTTTCACATGTAAATAATATAAATGAGTTTAAAATATTAGTTTTTGGGGATAACTAGTTGCTAAGTATTAAATAATAGTGTACAATGAGGTTCTTAATAATATATTATTCTTTCATGATGAATATTTTATGATTTGACAATTACCTACGAAATATCATTATTTTATTTATTAATACACTTCAAATTATAATATTTTTCAAAATAAATACAACCCGTGCATCGTACAAGTTACATACTAGTTAAAGCAATGGAAACTGAGTTTAAATTGGGCCTAAAAGTGCACATAATTGGGTCATTGGACCCACATATAAGCAACTTTTTTCAACTTGATTATAAAAGAAAGAGAAAAACGAAAATTACAACTTCTACTGTTCACGTGTTTTGATTTTGCAAATTAAAGTATTTTATTTGTAAATGCAATCTAAAATTCACAAAAAATTATAATTTGCAACACTTAACACAAATCGATCACAAAGTCATATAAAAAACCACGTATATTTGTGATCAAAAGCCACACAAAGTTGCAAATTATAAACTTCCGAAAATGTCACATTGAAATAAAAAACTTGCAAAAACATAAAAAATTAAATATTACAAAATTGAATATTTTATTTTTCCCTAAATAAAACCTTCCACACCCATAGTCTTGTCCCGTATTATCATTTTTTTAATTGTGATTTTTGTCTCAATTTCCCCATTCTTTCATTGAGAAATATGCTTTCGAAGTTTTTGCATGGTCTTTCTGACAAACTAGTACATTACTTGTGCGATGCACGAGAGCATTTATTACCTACTTTATTTTTTAAAATATATTTTGTAATTAAATCGTCTAATGACATTGAAAATATCATGAAAATAAAATTTATATATCATTGAACACTTTCATATGTACAACAATCTGAGTTTGATTCTTTGGAACGTAAAATACTACATAAGTGTTCAAATTTTATCTAAAATTATATATTATTAGTTATTAATTAATAAATTATATTTTTTCTAAAAAAATTAAGGTATCTTATTTATTAAAGAAAATTCCAGTAGAAAGAAAGTAGAGAGGGATTTCCACGTTATTTTTTTAATTCTAGTTCAAAATTTTGATTAATTAAAATTGAAAAGAATCATTAGTTTTTCCTAAAAATGAAACTGAATTTTCCTACCAGTACATCAATTTTTTACCAAACAAATTGATAATTGTCTTGTTAAAACAAAGTGAAAAGAATCATCAATTTTTCTTAAAAAATGCAACCGAATTTTCCTAACATTTAAGCGATTTTCTTTACCAAAAAAATTGAATTGAAATTAATTCTAATAAAAGATTGAAATATTTTGTTTATGCATCTGTTTTTTTCCTAAAAAAATTGATATGAACTTGACAAAAAAATTGATATGAACTTACCAAAACTCGGTAAAAAAATCTAATTAGCACGATTTTTAAATTAATTTGTATTTGGATTTGTTTTCATAAATAATTGACACATTTTTTACATAAGAATCTCCAAATTTGTTACAAAAAAATAGGATTCAATTTTGGTAAAAAAGTAAAAAGTGATTTTGGCATAACAATTTCCAAATTTGTTAAAAAAATGAGATGTAAATTTTATTACTAAAGATCTACCTGTATTTTATAAAATTTCTACTAATAATAAATCAACTTATTTATGTTTTGGTTATAGTTACTAAAAATGATTTTACCAATAACTTTTTTATATTAGTATAAATTTAAA